CTGGGCAAGAGAGTGATACCCTGTCTCAACAAAAAAAACAAAAAAGAAAGAAAAAGAAGCTCTGTTGGCATCGTTCTATTATTAGCTAGTGTGTGGAAGATGTGGTTAGGAGGGTCTGACTCGCACATGTCTCGGGAAGGCGACCAGCAGAGCTGAAAACACATCCATACTGGAATCCCACAGGCTGAGTGAGGCCTTGGCTCACCGTTGATCAGCCTTGTCATATTTGGCAAGCCTACTTGGGCCTCAACACCTCCATCTGTGCAACGGGGACTAATAATTATACTCCTTTTATAGAGCTGCAGTGATGGAGGACAATTCATATGTAAAATGCCGAGACAGTGCCCAGCACCTAGCAAGCATCCAGCAAATGTTAGCTATTAGTGTCTATTATCCCGAAGGCACCCTAGGATTCAGTCGCTCAACTGGCCTCTTGAATCATACCAGGATAGTATGAATAAAACTTGTCTCTAGCCCGGAGAAACTGCCCCTGTGTGCTGGCTAAAGCCTCACACAGGCTTTATATTATATTATATTCTGGGGGACTAATTTTCTTTTTTAGTAAAAGGCCTTGTTTTTTCCACTAAATTCTAAATACTCTATGGAAGGAAAGTTAATATCTTAAATTTTTTTTTCTTAATTCTTCTTATCCATTCATTTATTGACAGGCAGTTAGATTGTTACCCTATCTGTGTATTGTAAATAAGGCTGCTATAGACATTGAGTGCAGGTATCTTTCTTGAGGCACTGATTTCATTTTCTTTGCCTATTCAACCAGAAGTGGGATTGCTGGGCCATAACATTTCTACTTTTAATACTTTGGGGAATCTCAATACTGTGCTCCCAATGGCTGTGCCAACTTACATCCTCATTAATTTTTATTTTACTTTATTTTGAGTTGGGGCCTCACTCTGTCACCCAGGCTGGAGTGCAGTGGCATGATCAAGGCTCCCTGCAGCCTCAACCTTCTGAGCTCAAGCAATCATTCCGCTTCAGCCTCCCGCGTAACTGGGACTACAGGCATGCACCACCACGCCTAGCTAACTATTTGTTCTTTTTTGTAGAGATGAGGGTTTCACTGTGTTGCCCAAGTTGGTCTCAAACTCCTGGCCTCAAGCAATTCTCATGCTTCAGCCTCCCAAAATGCTGGGGTTACAGGTGTGAGCCATTGCACCCAACCAGAATTTTTTTTTCTCAAGAGATACGATCTCACTCTGTCGCCCAGCCTGGAGTGTGTTGGTTATTTACAAGAGTAATCATAGCTCACTGCTGCCCCAAACTCCTGGGCTCAAGCAGTTCTCCTACCTCAGCCTCTAGAGTAGCTATGACCACAGGCACACACCATCTTGCTCAGCTAATTACTTTATTTTGTTTTTGTTTTTTTTTGGTAGAGATGGGGGTCTCACTATGTTGCCCAGAATGGTTTCGAACCCCTGGTTTCAAGAGATCCTCCTGTCTTGGCCTCCCAAAGTACTGGGATTTACAGGCATGAGCCATTGTGCCCAGCCAGTACTTTTTAAAAAGCAATCAATATTAAAGATTTGCTGAAAAGCAGTTTGGCAACAAGCTTAAAATTTGTTTAACTTTTGATGCAATCATTTCTTAGATCTAAAGAAATATGAAGCACTTAAACACACAGCCATGCAAAGAAGTTTATTGATAATGTATAAAATAGAAATAATCTAGATATTGCTTAAATAGGAAAATGATTAAATAAATTATAATACATTTATAGACTAGAATACTGTGCAGTCATTAAATAAGTTTTACAAAATTCAACAAGGGCTGGGGGCAGTAACTCAGCCTGTCATCCTAGCACTTTGGGAGGCCAAGGCAAGAGGATGGCCTGAGTATGGAGGTTCAAGACCAGCCTGGGCAACTTGGTGAAACCTCGTCTCTACAAAAACTAGCTGGGCGTGGTGGCACATGCCTGTAGTTCCAGTTACTTGGCAGGCTGAGGCAGAAGGATCACCTCAGCCCAGAAAGTCGAGGCTGTGGTGGCCGAGAGGGTGCCACTGTCCTCCAGCCTGGGCGACAAGAGTGAGACTCCAATTAAAAAAAAAAAAAATTCAACAAAGTAGATTAAGTAATAAAATAAGGATGTAACAAAATATATACCACAGCACCAATTATTTTATAAAATGTGCGGCTGGGCGTAGTGGCTCATGCCTATAATCCCAGCACTTTGGGAGGCAGAGGTGAGAGGATTGCCTGAGCCCACGGGTTCAAGACCAGCCTGGGCAACTTGGTGAGACCTCATTTCTACAATAAATCAAGAAAAATTAACCAGGCACAGTGGCTTGCACCTGTAGTTCCAGCTACTTGGAAGGCTGAAGCTGAAAGATTGCCTGAGCCCAGCAGGTCGAAACTGCAGTAGTCGTGAGTGTGCCACTGCACCCAGCCTGGGTGACAGAGTGAGATTCCTATCCAAAAAAAAAGTGCATAGGACAAAAACTAATATTAACTTTATTAAAATGTAAATAGCAGGTACTTCTAAGTTGTGTACTATAATAAACTTACATTGCTTTTACAGACAGAAAAAAAAGATACATTTTCACAAAGATTTAATGTTAGTACTTCTCTAATGCACCTGTACTTTTTCTTTTTTTTTTTGAGTTGAGGTCTCACTCCACCACCCAGGCTGAAGTGCAGTGGCATGCTCATGGCCTCCCCAGTATCGATCTGCTGGGCTCCGGAGTTCCTTCTGCCTTGGCCTTTCAAGTAGCTGGAACTACAGGCCCGCATTACCATGCCCATCTAAATTTATTTTATTTTTTTATTGTAGAGATGAGATCTCACCAAGTTGCCCAGGCTGGCCTCGAACCTGCTTGCTCAGGCAATCCACTCACCTCGGTTTCCCAAAGTTCTGGGATTACAGGCTGGGCCACCAAGCCAGACCAACTGTTTTTAATTGAATGTGTCTTAGGAGAAATTTGCACCAAGAGAATGGTCTATGAGCCCTCTCAGCTAACATGTTAAACTTGGATAAATGCAAATATTCAGGGATATCTCATTTTAACTAGTATTTTTGTCCCTTAAGTGATTCTTCACATTAGGAAACGAATTTTAAAGTTAAACAATTAGGGCCATTGCCTTGCTAGACTCTGGTGTAGGCAAGTGCTCTTTGAGCTATGGCTTTGGCCCTCTCTTCCACCTAGGAGAGGTAAATCTTCTCTCTCTCTCTTTCTCTAATTTATTTAAAGTAAACTATATCTTCTAATCTAAAAAATTTAACAATTAATAAAGTTAAACGATTACAGAGTAGGGGTAGCTGTGGTGTTCCTTTTCCATTCTACCTGAGGTTTAAGATCTTTAAAGAAGAACATTTGTGGTCTTTTATTCAACCTGGAGAATACTTAAGCAAGCTGCTCTTCTGCTTGGATGTAGTAGGTTAGCAAATGACATTGAGGAGATTGGCGAGGGGCTGTGGGGAAAATGCACAGTATTTTGAGCAAGAAAATGTATGATCTCAGTGATCAGATTCAAGTACGCAATTTTGAAAAAAAAGAAAACTTACAACCTAGTTGAGTGTTGTTACCCACTGGCAATGTACTGTTTAGCAAGGTGTGCTTCAGTTTCCACATTTGTAAAATGGTGTAGTTACAATCAACTGTGGTTGATGTCAAAACCAAACAAGCTTATGAATAGCAGTACCTGGTAAATGGTAAGTAAATGTTAGTTAACAGTTTGAATAATCTTTCTAGGCAAATCTGGGTTTCATCAAAAAATAATTGGGTTATCAACTAAATTATTACTATTATAAAATGGCAACTGAAGTCCTAAGAATTGTTAACAGTAGCAACTTAACACAGAATACCTTAAATTAAAAACTAACTTAAGAAATAGAACTGGGGCTGAGTATTGAAAATGATTCCCTAATGAAGCATTTCTAAGACATGGGCGTTGTGGAGTGCGAAAGAGTTTTTCCGCTAGTTGGCTCTCTGTGCCCTCTGCTTACCTGGCAGCCGTCAATATCAACAATGCACGTCACAGTGCTTGGGAACACAGAACACAAGTCCAAGATACTATAATAGTGATGTTAACGATACTGTGATTATAATTAAGTCCTTCTGTTTATTTTTTATAAAATGCTACTTTTTTTAGAGATGGGGTTTCACTATGTTGCCCAGGCTGGTCTCAAACTCGAGCAATCTTCCTGCCTTGACCTCCGAAATTGCTGAGATTACAGGCACGAACCACCATGCCTGAACAAGCCCTTCAGTTTTGGGGGGAAAAAAACCTTCAATCTAGTGTATAAGCTACCTATGGTAGAGAGACATCTTCAGATTAATGGGGGCCATTATGGAGTATTATGATAATTACAATAGATCCATTTATCATTTGCTTACAATTGAAGCCTGTTTGGCTTAGAAGTCTATTTGGCTAAGAATGGCATGAGTAAATCGATATAAAATTGAACTAATAACATTAGAAGTAGGAAAACATCTAAAGATAAATGATAGATCGGCTAAGTCATTGCCAAATAGAGAATTAATTAATCCTGTGTGAAAGAGTTTTAACTCCTTCTGTTTGCTTTGCATATAGTAGGTAATATTTATTGATACTATTTGATTTGTGTCTCTTTTAGAATATATTTTATCAGAGTGGTCTGAAGAATTTAATGTAACTCTTTATAATATTTTTCAAGACTGTTATATGCCTCACAGTCACCCAGGGTGTTTGTAAGAAATGCTGACCCAGGAGCCTTCCATCTTCACTGTCCATGGACTCAGGCCCTCTGGGAGCCTGAGCATGCGTCTTGAACAAACGTCCCTAGGAGGTTTTTATGTTTGAAATCCCAGAAATGTCTGACAACCGTTACACAAATTGTAGTCAACCTTAACAAAACCAAAGCAAAATAACATTGTAAATGTGACCACCTGCCCTAGAATGGTTTTATCAGTTTTGGTAGACGTCAAGGAGAAATAACATATATACGGAGGAAAGAGACTGCAATAAGGAGAAAAGCCTAAAAGAATAAAATACATAAATACACTCACCTGTTTCTGCTGTTTTATGATAAAAGGGTGAGCTCCAGGACTGCCAGTACCTTTTACCTGTTTCTTGACACCTCACTTGAAATATATACTTCATGTTGGGCTCTAAGTGAAATTCTGATTGCTGCACATAGGTAAAGTTGGTGTGGAATTCTTTAACCTAGAATGGGAGAATCACAATAAAATGTGGTGTGCTTTTAAAACAAATAACAATTCCATTAGCAGAAATGTATGGCACACCTATGGTGTTCCAGGTATTCTTCTAAACCTTGGGTAAACAAAGAGGAATGAAGAACTTTGCGGGAAACATTCCCACACAGAATCAAACACTGCCTTGAACACTAAAAGTGATAATACTGCTTTATGTTTGACAAAAGTCCAAAATGTAATGTATTCTTAATTTTAGAAAATATTATTTTAATGGGTTGAGGAAACAGGGGACCTGATTGCAATTGTTTGAAATCCTCCCTACTCTGCAGTTGCTTATTTATTTATCTATTTATTCCATTTTTAGTGGGGTCTCACTCTGTCCCAGGATCACGGCCCACTGCAGGCTTGACCTCCTGGGCTCAGGCGATCCTTCTGCCTCTGTTAGGGATAATCCCAAAGTGCTAGGATTCCAGGCATGAGGCATTGTGCCGGTCCATGGTTGCATATTTAGAGCAATGATTCTTCCCAAATAATGGAATAATTCACTTGCTAATGATGACTTTTAGAGGAAGAATTATTCACATAAGCTAAGCTCTTAAATTGTCCTTATTGCAAGTTTTTGAATATTCTACAAGACCGAATAGTATATATGTGTGTTTATGACAGAGGACCCTCCCGAAAAAAGGCACTTGTTAATTAAAAATGCTGTATTTATTCTTACATGTTTAAACTTTGGTCACCTTCCAAGTGTTCTTAATTTGATGCAATACACCTATTCAGATGCTTTTTCCACCACTCAACACAGTTTATGAACATGTCCATTTTGATGCCTTTTCCAATTGGCAAAACTGTTTCCCTTTGAGGACTTTTTTCATTGAGGGAAACAAAAAACTCACTAAGGTCAAGATCAGGAGACTGGGGAAGGTAAGGCACGGGGGTCATGTCATTTTTGGTCAAAAATTGCTGAACACTCAGTGGATGTGGCAGGTGCACTCATAAATTACCCATCATGAAATGGGCAAACACATTGAAAGAATCTCAAAGAAAAACATTCATTGAAGCTGAACTCAGCCTCTCACAACAACACGGGGTGGTCCACTGATGCCAAGGGGTTCCTAGAACACATACCTAGCGGGGAAGCCTGTGCGACAAGGAGCCTGCCCTCCAAATGATCATTCCAATTTTGAGGGGGTCCCCCTTCATATGTGAGAAAAAATAAATAAATATGAAAGAATGCTGAACCAGAAAATCCAACAGAAGATAAGAAAGAAAATAGGTGAGGAATAAACAGACAAGTGTTTTTCCAGGGCGCTGCAACCTGCCATCAAACATAGCGAAAAATGAGCCCCAAACAAGCTGGCTCAGTTGGCAGAAAGAAACCAAGACACTTGTACATCTTCCATATGTTCTAGCAAGTGATTTATTGAAGAAAGCAAAGTATGATTGAAAGGCAGACATAAAACAAATTTAGGCAACAACTGGGTGAAAGCAGTCACCAGGTGCTCATGAAAGAGAAAGTTAGAATGATCAAGATTAAAAAAAAAAAAAGAACAAGCTATCCACCTCATCCAGGGATTTTCTGTTAAAACCCAATCTTAACATAAATCTTGAAGCTTGCAATGCATTGAAAATGTAAAATTCATGAAAATATTTGGGGGATGTCACGCTCCCTGAAAGATGTCATCCAGTTTCCACAAGCCTTGTCTCTACTCATGACTTTCGGAATGTTCTGCTATGTGACTATGACTGTGGCAACCAGTGTCTCCTGGGATCAGGGAGAGATTTTACTTATTGTGCCAAAGATTTGACTTTCAAATGCACTCTGCTTCATATTAGTTTCTCTTGTAGGGAAGTTATGATGCTCCAAAATATCTCTTACCCTTGAGTTTATAGATAAGTTCCCTCGAAGGCAAGAAATACCCTAAAGAACAGCTAGAATTCTAAAACAGAAAGAAGAATATTGTGAACTGCTAACAGGTGTTTATACCATGAGGCAAAACAGGTGACTGCTTAGGGCCGTGCAAGTATAAGCTGACACTTCCAGATGATACCATCAGTGGCTGAAGTGAATACCGAGAGAGCTAGAATTAACTGAGTGCCTATGTAAAGAATATCATTTCAAGTGTGCTGGAAATATAACCTTGCCTTTTAAAAAAATAACAGTTAATTTCTACTTAGAGTTTCAATTCTGAAGGTTGGGGGGAGGGCATTAAAACAGAATTTCCATCAGCCAGAGAGATTGCTTTTCTTAGTAAATCTAAGTTCCTGTTGCCTGAGCCAAGGAGGTCGAGGCTGTGGTGAGCCGATTGTGCCACTGCACTCCAGCCTGGGCGACAAAGTGAGACCACAACTGAAAACAAAAACAAAACAAGAAGTTCCTGAGGGCATCCTTGGGTGGAGGGAATAAGAAGCTCCAAACTATCCAGAGAGTTCTGCAATCCCCACCTCCCCCGACAATCAGGTTGGGACGTGGCCTAGGTTGAGAGGGTCCCCCACGGTAACCCACCGGTGTCTAAATTCTTTTGGTTTCTCCCTTCACTCCTACCCTTCAATCTTCCCCCGTCTCTCTGTCCAAGTTATTTTTATCTGGTGTTTGGTGAGGAGAGAAGCGAGATGTTGATTGGAAACTTATTTGTGACTAATCACACGGTCTTCCAAGTTTCCTGTCTTGTATTAACCTCCATGCTTCTGAAATGCAAAAGCCAAAGATCTGGTTCTTTGATATCTGCATACTGTTCAATCAGCCCTTCTGGGAAAAAAACAACTTGGTTTTGTGTAGCCTAAGCTAAGAAAGGTTTTTACATTTTTAAATGGTTGAAAGAAAGCTTTTAAAAAGAATATTTCATGGTGCCCAGAAATTACGTGAAATTCAAATTTCAGCGTCCAAAAATAAAATCATATTGGAACACAGCTACGCCCATTCATTTGCATATGGTCTATGGCTGTTATCATGCTGCAGACACAGAGTTGAGTAGTTGAGACTGAAACCCTACGTTCTGCAAAGCCTAAAATGTTTACCATTTGGCCCTGGAATGAAACGTTTGCCTAGACCCTGGTCTAGCTTAATTAGAGAAATGAATCACCATCAATCCATTTACTTGAACTTGCCGCTGAGACTTTCTCTTATACTGTCACTGAGGTTGGACACCATTATGGACAAATAATAACAATAGCTAATGTTTCAAATATTGTTTGTGTAGACTAGATATTATAAAAATCAGTGGAGATTTAAAAAATATTATTATTATTATTATTGCTATTATTATTATTTTGAGTTGGAGTCTAACCCCGTCACCCAGGCTGGAGTGCAGGAGCACACTCACGGCCACCGCAGCCTCAACCTGCTGGGCCCCGGCGATCCTTCCACCTCAGCCTTCCAAGGAGCCGGAACTACAGGTGTGCCCTGCCACACCCGGCTAATTTTTGATTTTTTTGTAGAGACAAGGTCTTGCCAAGTTGCCCAGGCTGGTCTTGAACTCGCAGGCTCAGGCAATCCACTTGGCTCGGCCTCCCAAAGTGCTGGGATGGCAGGTTGAGCCAACGAGCCCGGTCTCAAAAAATGATTATAGCAGAGCCCTGCTCTCCTGGAGCTCATTGTTAAAGGATGGAGAAATGGAGGTGTAAACAGGTAAGTACACCTCCATTTCAGGTGGCAAACACCCCTGAAACGGCCTGCAGAAGCAGGCCTGGGTGGCTGTTGGCCTAACTTCGGACTTGGGGTGCTGGAGACATAGTCCATGAAGACACCAACACGTAGCTACAGGTGTAGGCCTGACCCTCTCAGGAACTGGGGTTGCTCCAGGTTCTAGGCCACAGGTGGAGCTGAGACCTGGGAGTAGGTTAGAGCTGCAGTGGAGTGAGGAAAGACCAATATTTAGGCAGTTGGTGGAAGGGAGGACTTACGAAGGAAGGCAGTCAGAGATACCGCTAGAGAGCTAAAGACATTCCTGAAAAGGGAAAGCCAAGAGGAGAGACGCTTCCAAGGAGGAGGCGGTCGGCAGTGTCAAATGCCAGGACAGGATGGAGACTGCCGAGGCTTGCGGACTTCGTCTTTCGGAAAGATGGTGGTGGCCTCGCAGGAGCTGATTTCGGCAGATGCAGTGACATCCCAGGCCACCCCCTTGTCCTTCATCTGGGTCATTTACCACGTAGCTTTGCGCATCTTCCCGTTCTGATCTGGGTTTGCCCACGTGGCTGCTTTGGGACAACAGGCCGTCGGTGCCTGGGAAGCTAGAAGGAGATTGAAGGGTCCCAGAGAGACTGGGCTCAGGCGCTCCTGTCCTCTGCCAGTGCCGTAAGAAGGACACGCCAGGCTAGCCCGCTGTTCCCAGATGGAGGACTCAGATGCATGTAGGGGAGAACCTGGGCTCAGGCGGAAGAGTGAGCCAGCTGGCCTGCAAATGTATGCCCACTCCCGGCTAAGTTCAGCCTAGACCAGCCAGACCCCATGGACAGCTGGGGAGTGGCTTTGTTTACCTATATGATATCTAAAATACTCTTTGGGGATGCAGTAAGGTGACCTCTCTGCTACTATACACGTATTCCTCATGAGGGAGGTTTGCTGTGTTGTTTTCTGGTATGATGCTCCTTTGAGGTCCCAAGGCAGAGCCCACCTTATGTATGTGTGTGCACAGGTATGCACCCTTGTACCATTTCCCTCTGAGATCCCTCCCTACCTCTTTCTTTCCTCTCTCCCCCATGTTCAAAAAGAAAAGATATATATATATATATATATATATATATATATATATATATTCCTTTAATGAAGTTTTCAGGATCAAAATGGAGTCAATCGCATTAAAAACAAACAAACAAAAACAACAACGCCAGCAACAGAAAGAGACCTCTGATGAACACAGCTGGGAAGGCTGAGGAGAGGGTTCTCATGCGTGCCTGACAGCAAGACATCACAAAAGCCTGCAAGAGCTACTACCTTCACAAAGGCCATCCCGACATTACACAAAACATGCTTCTGCGAGGACGTCTGCCCAGACTGATGTCACCCTTGTTATTGACCTTTGTAGCTAAGGATAATCATCTCAGAACAAATACGTCATCCTCCTCATTTTTCCTGCAAAACCTTTGTCTTCCTTTGCTTCCCTGAAGACACACACGGTTCCCGACAGCACACAGATTCCCATCACAATGCCCTGTTCCCGAACACACATCACGTCCTTTTAGGAAACCTCTCTCTGCTGCTTATGTTGGCACCTTAGGAGGGTAGACATGCTCGGTCTCATCATCCATGTGAAATAATTGTTCTGAGACTCAGTTAGTGCTAGGAAGACAGGATTTAAATGGAGAAGAGCCCTGTCTCTCTAGGGAAGCTGCTGTCTTGATCCCAGAGTCTAGGAGAGCAGATATACAGAAGGCATGCCTTTCTGTGATTGCTAAGATGATGTCTATCACATGGAAGACAAGCTTAAACCAGACTGGAGAGCCTCCCACCATCGGGAAGCTAGTTATATTTTGTAATCCAGATTACATAGTAGCTGGCTTTTCTCTGAGATACGTATCTTCTTCCTCTCATCTCTCTCTCCTCCACCCCCTTTCTTTCTAATATAGATGGGGTCTTGCTAAGTTGCCCAGGCTGGAGTGTAGTGTCTATTCCCAGACACAATCATAGCGCACTACAGCCTCGAACTCCTGGGTTTGGGCAGTCCTCCTGCCTCAGCTTCTCAGGTAGCTGGACTATAGGTGCATGCCACCCTGCCTGGCTGAAATGTTGACTTTCATCTTGCTATCTCTGACCATTGACTAAAATCTTTACAAGTTCCAAACTGGTCTCAGCTACAGTACCGGGGAATTCACAAAGGGGCTGAGGTAAATGAGGCGAGGGCAAAATGTTTGCAATGTTCTCCACAATGCAGGCTCATCTCCAGGGACTTGGAACCATCTGGCCGTAGATAGATACGGTCACACATCACTTAACGACAGGGGTACGTGTGGAGAAATGCGCCACTAGGCAATTTTGTCTTTGTGCAAACATCATAGGGTATTCTCACACAAGCCTAGATGGTCTAGTCTCCGACACACCTAGGCTAGATGGAGTAGCTTGTTGCTCCCAGGCTACGAAACCGTGTGGTGTATGGCTGTCCTGAGTACTGTGGACAACCGCAACACAATGCTAAGTATTTGTGTGTCTAAACATAGGAAAGGTACAGGGCAGATACAGGATTATAACCTTATGGAACAACCGTGGTATAGGCTGATTGCCACTCCGGGACATCTCGGGAGGTGCATGACTGTGATCTGCAATGTTGGCCTGGCAGGGACGCAGGAAGGACTGGCCGGTCCCCTTGGATACCTCACAGTCTGTGTGCACCTTAGCTTAAGGGGCTGAGAAGTACTCTCAGTACCCTGATTTTCAGGCAGGTTCCTTACCACTACCACCCTTGCCACATGCCTTCCTTGGAGGCCAGAGAGGAACAATCCTAGCCTGCATTTACTGAACGTTGTCCCTATTCTGGGTTCTGGGCTGGCTTATTCCCATGTTACTGGTGAGAACGAAGAACAGGGAAGGTAAGCGTGCTCAAGACCGCAGAACCAGAAAGCAGCGAGGCAGGCTTCAAACTCCAGCCGGTGCTCTTGCTTGCAAGGCGTCCTGCCACCTTGAAGTCAAGACCCACCCTGCAGTGTATCTGATGGTGGCAGCCCCACCACAGAGCCCAGGAAGAGTTGTGATGCTTGGTAGCCGCCTATGCTTCTCCATCCTGACTTTCCTGGCTCCCTACAAGGAGACAAAGACAACGGACACTTCATGCATGACCCAGTGAACGTTATGCGGGATGCTGCTGGCTTGACCGGGGTCATCTGGGTTGACGTGGTAATTCACCTTTCCTCTGTGGGTGGCTGATTTCAGAGCAGCCAGGTGGAAGACATGGAACATGGTATTGGATTGACACCTGCTGTTTCCATTGTCTGAATATTCACTGGGTGCCAAATAAATGCAGGTGTAGAGTCTGCAAGGCACACGTGGTTACTGGCTTTGAAAGTTCAGGAACGTCAGGCTTGGCCCCTTTCGAATTCAACTTCCTCACTTGTGTGCTGGAGCTAATACTGCCTCCCACGAAGGACTGGTGTGAAGATTACACAAGACAACAAGTACCCTCTCAGCTCCTTCATCCACTGCTTCTGAGAAAGAGTTTTGGAAGTGAGCTCGAGTTACCTCCGAGTTACTTCCAAGTTACTTCCAAGTTACCGAGTCTCATAGTGGTGTAGGTAGCACCAGCAGGGGGGAGCAGAGAACTAGGCTCTCAACCAGAAAACAGTTTCTGAAAACGTATTCAGAGACATCGATGATATAATTCCTTTCTCTTTTCCAAACATTCCTATAGTGGATTACATCCTCCAATTAAGGGGGTTTAGTACTCTAGGGATTGTTCTATGACTGTGATGCTTACAAAGGGCTCTCGGTGTCCCATTAGAGGAAATCCCGTTAACTCAAAAGCAAGACCTGACAATTTCCTTTGGGTTGTTTTGAAATCTCCCTAAATTCCATACACGCAAAAGGAATTGGGCAGGATCTTCACTTGGCTATTGATTAATGATGTAGAATGTGGATCCCATCCAGCGGAGACCCCAACACCCATAAAGTTCACATTTGAGCAAACAAGGGTAAACAGACAAGTTGACAACAGGAACTTAATTTTTACAAGCAACCTTTAGGGTATGTCTTGAAATCAGAGTAGTCTTACCCCATCTTCTTGACTCTTCAAAAACATATTACCTTATGGCAAAATTGATATTCAGAATGATAAGTCTGAAATCGTAGAAGACTTTGGAGTCATGCTAGTCATGAGAGAAATCTAAATTATGTCTCATATATGTTTTAGTGTTAAATATATATCATTTTATTGAACTCCCTATTAACTGGTCATCCATAGCTGATCTATAACTCTTAATTAAGCAAAGCCAGAAACGATTTCTTCATTATTTGGACTTAATGGCAGTTTATTGTACTTAAAAATAATCAAATGACATTTCTTTTCAAACACACCACAATTGGAACTGTTTTCTAAGTCAGATTGTGTCCCTCCATAGCTGAAATTAGTAAGTTTTTATTTCATTGTTCCCAGGTGCTATTATTATGTGATGTGATTTTCATGAACCTGGTAGCTAGGCCTCTCCTAAGACATCTGATGATTTACCCTAGGTGTTTAAGGCGGTTAGTTTGTTGGTCTAGACATTCACTTTTTAATGCTTACTTTTGCTCAGATTGTCATCTTCAAGCTCATCTAAGACTCAGGCCTATAGCTGTAATAAATCTTACACTTGGAATTGTACATTTTTGACTTAGAAAGAGATGCCCATAAATCTAAGTTCTCCTTTTCTGAACAATTTTTATTAAATCTGGATGCCTGTCAAACATAGAATTCTTAAATTTTAGGCTGGGTGTGCCTGTAACCCCAGCACTTTAGGAAGCTAAGGCAGGAGGATCACTTAAGCCCAGACAGGAGTTTGAAACTAACCTGGGTAATAGTGAGACTCTCGCTACAAAAAACTTTTTTTTTTTTTTAATTAGTCAAGCATGATGGCATGTGCCTGTGGTCCCAGTGACTCAGGAGGCTGAGGCAGGAGGATCATCTCTTGAGCCAGGATTCTATGATCATGCCACTGCACTCCAGCCTGGGCAACAGAGTGAGACTGTCGGAAAGCAGATAGATAGATAGATAGATAGATAGATAGATAGATAGATAGATAGATAGATAGATAGATAGAGATACGACTTAAATGTTACATCCACGATCATTGATATACATTTCACCCTAAGAGACACTGAAACACAAAGAGCTAAATAGATTCCACATAGCCAAAGATTTGTCATCATAGCAATATACAAAAGGCAACAAGATCTTTTCAGGACACAGCTCTGTTTGGAAGCATACAGTAATCATCAGTAAAACTGAAATGATGTTAACATCACATAAATAATCAGATAAAAAACATGTAAAATGTATCACTGTAAGTTCCAAACATTCCTATAGTTTATTACACCCTCCTATTGATACCAGATAAGTATCGTATTCTTAGTACTGACAGTTGACATCTTTTAAAGTATTCACTCACAAGCTAAAGAGTAATGAAAGTTAAGCTTACATTCCAAGTTCGGTTTGTTGCAGCCTTGTATCTCATTTCACAGGAAACTCTTTCAATTGTTGTTTGACTGTTCCAATAAATTACAGTCTTGGGCACTGTAGCATTTACGTTCTCAGCCCTGGAAATGATGGATGCAGAAGGTATCACTAGGAAAAAAAACAAAAACCCTACCAGTTTAAAACTTGCCTAGGGAGAAATTGGTATCTTTTCATCGACATATAGCCATGTTACAACTCAAAGTGCAAACAAACAAAAAAAACCCAAACCAATTTCATGATCTAATTAGTAATTAATGACTTCTTCTTGTTTCTAATCTATTATATAGGCAAGAACTACTGTTATTGAGGAAAATTCTATTCAGTCCAGTCTCCATTTTTTGAAAACTGAACTCAAATAGTTCTGTCTTTTCCCTACCTCCCACTCACTTACAATCCTAACTAATAAAATTCCAGAGTCTGGCCTTGTTAACATAAGAGTATAAAAAAGAGATAAAGAAGATATTTCCCCTTCCCTGCATCTGTTCAGAGAGAGAGGATGTTTGCATCCAAATTTAATTCAGAGAATCTGATTTGATGAGGTGTTAAATTGAGCCGGGAGGCTGAGGCAGGAGGATCACTTGAGCTCAGAAGTTCAAGGCTGCAGTAAGCTATAATTGTGACACTGCTCAGAAGCCTACATAACAGAGACCCTGTCTCTAAGGAGAGAAAAAAAAGATGTTAAATTCACAAAAATATTCTTCTTCCCTTGTGTAATAGGAACTTCTGTTCTTGAAAGTGTGATTTGAGCAAAGTAGGTCTCATAAGACTCCAAGACTTTATCAATTGTTGCCATGTTCTGTGATAATAACCTTCCAAAGGGAACTAAAATTCTGACTGGTTATCTGATTATCTTGTTGTAATAGGAGAAATGCTGTAACTGAAATCTCTATATTTCTAAACCGTGTAAATACTTACTAAGTTTGTTCTGTCTGAACAGAATAGAATTATTGGAACTATCATTCCCCTATGCATGATGGAAAAACGAAAACCTATAATTTTGCTAGATGTATTACTTGACAAATAACCCAAGGGCCTTTATGAATTTTTTTCTTTCTTTCTTTCTTTCTTTCTTTTTTTTTTTTTGAACTGGTGTCTCACTCTATCGCCCAGGTTGGAGAGCAGTGGCACACTCACGGCCACCCCAGCCTCGACCTGCTGGGCTCCGGCGATCCTTCTGCCTCAGTCTTCCAAGTAGCTGGAACGACAGGCGTGCACTACTATGCCAGGCTAATTTTTGATTTATTGTAGAGACGAGGTCTCACCAAGTTGTCTGGGCTGGTCTCAAACCTGTGGGCATAGGCAATCCACTCGCCTCGGTCTCCCATAATGCTGGGATTACAGGCTGATCCACCGAGCCCGGCCTATGAATGTTTTTAGAGACCATTGTTAATATTCTGGTTTCTTTTCATTTATTCTTTTTTTTTTTGAACTGAGATCTCACTCTGTCACCAGCCTGGAATGCAGTGGCACGATCATGGCTCACTGCTTCCTTGAACTCCTGGGCTCAAATAATCCTTCCCTCTCAGCATCCTGAGGAGCTGGGACTACAAGTGTGCACCACCACATCCAGTTTTTTTTTCTTTCTGTAGAGACGAGGTTTCACTAAGTTGCCTAGGCTGGCCTTGAACTTCTGAGTTCAAATGATCTTCTGGCTTCAGTCTCCCAAAGTGCTGAGATAACAGGCCTAAGACTCTGCACTTGGCCTCTTCATGTATTGAGTTTATAAAGCATCCTTTGAGAAGATTATTCATTTGCTACCAATGACTATTAATTAAAATTATGTGCACTGGTAGGTGATTTACAGAAAAATATAAAAATTACAGTTTTTCTCTCTAGTAGTATAGTCATAATAAAACTCTTAGGCTACAACTAGCATAGAATAAAAGTAATAGCGACATAATTAATTAAATTAAGGAGCTTAGTGTACTTAACTTTTATCATCTGAATACCATACATAATTTCCTTCTGCTACTGCAAACTTCTTTTAGTAAGAATCAGAATTGGGAGGCCAGGTACAGTGGCTCATGCCTGTAATCCTAGCACTTTGGGAGGCCAAGGTAGAAGGATCACTCAGACGAGGAGTTTGAGACCAGCCTGGGCAATACAGTGAGACCCTGTCTCTAAAAAAATAAATATATTGATAAACAAAGTTACAGATTACATTAACAAAAGTATGTATTATATGCTGTAAGTCTAAAAAGGCAGGGTTTATAAATAGCTAAAGCAAAAGTTGTTAATGTGTTAAATCTGGCTGGTGAACGTGGGGATGTCTAGCTAATTCTCTGCAATTTTCTATGTATTTTATAAAACTTTTCAAAATTTAAAAAAAAACCTTACATAAGTCCCCAAAGAGTATGTAGAAGTCTAATTCTCTAGTATGCTGTGCTTCTCACAGCATAAGACCCAACACACTTTGCTTAACCCTTGTTTCTCCCTGCCTTCCCTGGTGGATTGTAAGTCATTTTAAGGCAGGAGTCTCATCCCTTAGAACAATGCTTGGGACATAAAAAGTTCCCAATGCATGTTTGTAAAAACAAGGACACCACGTAGAAATAAGACGAGCGAGTTATACAGCAAAATGGTGGCAGCAATGCTCCTCCCTGAGTTGTTCTGGGCCAGTAGAATTGTAGGTCATTTCTGTTTTCTGAATTATGGTGTGCAGGCACTTGAGGGGACTCCTTTCAAATCTAGACTCCATTGGACTAGGTCAGCACCAATCAGCTGCTCACCATGACAGACCTTCTGGGCTTCCTCGTTCTTTACCTATGTCATCCAGGTGGATTTGCATCTGTTCTGACTCTTCCATGCCTAATGCATTTGTGGCTTGCACCCAGACCAAATACTTCTTGCCGCCTCGTAATGAGTCCGTGGAGATGTTGATATAGCTTGAGGTAAGGTACTGTTGTTCTTCTTCTGTCTCTAAACTTAAAAAAAAAAAAGAAGAAGAAGAAGAATCTCAAATTATATTTAGTTTGAGTTAATTATCCCAGAATTTTAAAAGTTCTACCTTTTTTAGCCTGCTTTCAGACATGCAACTTTTAACTGAGACATGAATCAAATTTGATTAGATTTTCAGGATTTTAAAAAACAAATTCCACTCACTGAGGCCACAGCAGGACTCTGGGGGGCCCTGAGCATCTTGGCCTTCCTGAACCCCTTCCTCCATGAAAAAAACAGCCTATTTATAAACCCTACCCCTAAATAACCATACAATATTGTTAGTGGGACATGGTTGGAGGCAGGTGGGAGGGGAGCACTGAAGGATGTGTCTTCTCTCTGCTGGTTTCTGTAAAGAGACTGTCTTTAAACTTCCTGTATATGATACATATATATATAATGCATATATGCAGTATAGATAAAATACACACATACACATATGTCTACATATATATGCCTATCCATGTTCATATATATTGTTTTGCAACTGTGTTCATATAAAACAAATATATTAATCTATATTAAAACATGTTCTTTAAACCTAACAGTCTGTTTTTATCTCCTGATTTTAAATAAAATTAAACATTTTCATGGACTCCTAAAAGTATTGTGGGCCCTAGCCACCATGCCTCCTGTGCCTGTCTGACATGGACACAGCTTGAAATAAATGAGCAGTCTGGAAAGGAACGCTGCATTTGGGGTCAGTGCAAAGATTCTGAAGCCGACAGTTCCCTCTGGGTGTAGGGGAAGGAGTAGGAAAGGCCAGCCTCCTGGGCAGAAACAGCTAGCATGTTCTAAAACACAGGAATGAGATGGCATGACATTTCTGAGAACGTTCAACAAGTGTAGTACTCTGGAGTATGAAAATGCGTGAGGTCACTAAGAAGTGGAGCAGGCCAGGTTGAAAACCCACCCAAGAGCCACTGATGGAGTGGGATTTTCCAGGTAAGAGGCAGTGCACTCTCTTTTCTCCCTGTGTTAAGGGTCCCTGGGGCTGTGTGGCACCTTGATGGAGGGTAGATTGATGGAATGAGGGTGGTGGTAGGAGAAGAGTGAAAAGCTATAAAATAATCCAGCATTGGGCTGGGCTCGGTGGTTCAGGCTGTAATCCCAGCACTTTGGGAGGCCGAGGTGAGTGGATTGCCTGAGACTGTGGGTTCGAGACCAGACCGGAACTGGCTGGACTTGAAGCCTAACTTGATGAAAGGAAAGGGAGTCATTTACTGCTGAAAATGATGGAGAAGATTGGGGAACTACAGGGTGCTCCCACACCCGGCTAATTTTTTTTATTTATTGTAGAGATGAGGTCTTGTCATGTTGCCCAGGCTGGTATCGAACCCGCTGGCTCAGGCAAAGTGCTGGGATGACAAGCTGAGCCACCGAGTCCAGCCTATTCTTATTTTTAACAAATAAAAATACTTCCCACGTTTGCATTTCGTCCTGGATCAGGGGTCACGTCCATCTTGTTTCTGCTGCCCCAATTATGGTGTTTGTGCTGCGGAGGCAAACTCCGACCTAATTTCTTCATCTAATCCCATCAACAGCCCTCTGTCCCAGGTGACGCCTTATAGGATTTGTGGAGAAGATAGAGCTTAAAAATTACTATCATTTTATCCCTAGGGGCCCACCTGGTCCTGTCACTGTGTCTATTCAGCACCTCCCGAGTTTCCCCAGCCTCACAGTGTCCCACCAGGATTGTACTTTGCCGGCCACTCACAGCTTGTGGAATCCAAGAAACACGCTTGCCGGGATGAGAACAGAGGAACCAGCCTCATGCCACCAAGCCATGGACATATTTATGAATCAAAATACTACAGAAATGATACATATACATATATCTAAAAACTTATTGCTACTAGCAGAGGAGGACAGTCTCAGCAAGTGGTCAAGGAATCCCTCCAAGGTTGACAGTCACCGAGCGCATGTGTGTTGGGGGCCTCTTGTTCAGCTCAGGTTTTTAAGTTCCAGTGCATTTTTCTGTGTTGCCTTGTTCCTCACACTAGCCGTGAGAGCAATATGAACACCATGAGGGGACAAGAAGGATATGTCATGGTGATAGACATCACAGGGGTTGGGTTTTAGAGACAGACCTAGGTTCAAATCCCAGCTCTGCCCCTTGATATGTCGTAGGACTTGGCAAGTTACTTAGCCTCTCTATACGTGAGTGTATTCATCTGCAGACTGGAAATGATAGCATGGTGTTATGAGTAAATGAGATAAGAAAGCAAGGAACAGATGGTTCCACACATAATAAAGGACTCATCAAACAAACAATGACTATGATTTAAAGGGTATCTGTGCCAGTATGGTAGTTCATGTCTGTCATCCCAGCACTTGGGAGCAGAGGTCAGAGGATTGCCTGAGTCCAGGGGTTCAAGACCAGTCTGGGCAACTTGGTGAGACCTCGTCTCTACAAAACATCGCCCAGGTGTAGTAGTGCATGCCTGTAGTTCCAACAACTCAGGAGACTGAGGCAGAAGGATCACGTGAGTCCAACAGGTCGAGGCTGTGGTGAGCTGTGACCGTGCCACTGCACTCCAGCCTGGGTGACAGAGTGAGACTCCAGCTCAAAAAAAAGAGAAACTTTTAAAATTGCTGTATTTCAACCAGCAAAATATCTTTTATATATTGCTTGTATCTGAAGTTAAACTGCACCATCAAATTGAGATGCTTACATAGGTGCCTTACATTCGTTCTGAAATAAGATGGGAAATAAATACATTAACAGATAACTTGTTACGAGGTATGTCAACCTCACGCAAAATTAGAATTCAAATATGAAAACAAGAAAATGGCTACTACGTGTACGTGGTAAGTAGGACATCTTTGAATATTTTCCAGTTAGAGAAAACCACATTACATGTTCTTATTGGTTTGTGGCTGATTCTTTTACCACACATATTGAGACCACAAGTTAAAATGGAAACATATTCTCAAACTGACATAACCATAGTTACTAGGTAATTTAATTCTGCTTTTAAAGTCTCCCCATATTAGCACCTAGACCACAAAGCACTGCCTTAGTTGAAGAGTCCACTAAGAATGACTGACTACACCTTGGGGCTTTTTCTACATAGAACTTGTGCTTTTGTGATAGAATAAGTACTATTTGGTCTGCTAAGGTCCTGACACACAGCTCCTAAAACCCTTGGCATCTCAAAAGTGCTCATGAGATGGCTGACGGCTGGCACTCCTGGACAGCCTCAGAAGGGGCACAGGTCACCAAGGATTCCACCATGAGAGGACAGGGCTGAGTTCTCAGTCCCTTCCCAAGCCCCCACCCTGCCATCTCCTCCATCTCCCAGGAAGGGACAGGGGCTGAAGGTCGAACAGGTCACCAGTGGCCAATGATATCTGAGCACATGGAGATACTTGTAGGTGTATACTGCAAGCTTTGCCCTCTGCATCCCTTCCATCTGGCTGTTCGCCTGTATCTTTTTTTTTTTTTTTTTTTCCTTTTTCGTTTAGAGACAGGGTCTTGCTGTGCTTCCCAGGCTAGTCTCAGACTCCTGACTGCAAGGAATCCTCCCGTCTCGGCCTTCCAAAGCACTAGGATTACCGTGCCTAACCCATCAGTATCTTTTGTAATATTATATTATTAATTGTAATAAGTGGGTAAACAGAATCAAAATGTTTCCCTGAGTTCTGTGAGCCACTCGAGCAAATTAATCAAACTGAGAATTGGGTCATGGAAGCCGTGATTTTTAGCCTGTCGGGCAGAAGCACAGGTTGTGGTCTGAACCTTGCAGTTGACATTTGAAGTGGGGGCAGTCTCGTTGGACTGAGCCTTTATTTATTTTTATTTTTATTTTTATTTTTTTGAGTTGGAGTCTCACTCTGTTGCCCAGACTGGAGTGCAGTGGCTGCTCCTGGCCACCGCAGCCTTGACCTGCTGGGCTCCGGCGATCCTTCCGCCTCAGCCTTCCAAGTAGCTGGAACTACAGGCACGCACTACCATGCCCGGCTCATTTTTTTGATTTATTGTAGAGATGAGGTCTCGCCAAGTTGCCCAGGTGGGTCTCGAACCCGCAGGCTCAGGCAATCCACTCACCTTAAAACGTGGGATCTGATGCCGTCTCCAGGAGGACAGCGTCAGAACAGAATTAAACTAGAGGCCACCCAGCGGTGTCTGCCGGAGAACGGGCCGGTGTGTGGGAAACCACCACGTGTCAGAAGTTATGTTAAGAGCAGAAGCAGGAAAAACACTTTAGCTTTTGTCTATATCTCTTACAAAACTGCATTACAGGGCTTTTAAATGTCTTATTTCTATTTCTCTTTTTCATGGGCTAATACGTCACAGGTTATTTCTGAAGAGAGTCAGTCTAATTTATATTTTTCTCATGTTCTCTGAGAACCCACAGATTTTCAATAAACACTGCTGACTTATGATGATAGTGGAAGATAGTGACTTTCTTGTATTTAATCACTCATTCAACAAACATTTATTTAACACTGACTATGTCCCAAGCATATCTTTAGACATCAGGGCTACAGTGAACAAAACAGAACAGTCCCAACCCTCATGGAGCACACATTCTGGTGGAAACAAATAAATATATAATATGTCCTGGGGTGATAAACGTTCCGAAGAAAAAGAAAGAGTAGAAAGGTCAGGAAGTTCTGGGAGTAGCGGTGGGGACTTTTTTGTAAGGTGGAGGAAGGCCTATCTGAGAAGGTGACATCAGAGCAGCAAAGGGAGGAACAAACTCTGTGGCTCTCTGGAGGAAGTGCATTCCAGGTCACATACAAAGATCCTGAGGCAAGATCGTGCCAGTAAGTTTCCAGGGGAGGGAGATGGAAAGGGATTCGGGATGAAATCCCAGAGTTTTGGAGGAGGGGGAGATTTAGAAGACTTGTGAGGCCACGGAGTCGCTGAAGAACTCTGGCTTTGATCTCTGAGTGGAAATGAAAGGTTCTGAGCAGAGGGGTGACATGGTCTAAGTGCTGTGGAAAGGATTCTCTGCCTACTTGTGAATAAGAGACCCTAAGGGCCAAAGGAGGTGGCCAGGGGACTAGGTAGAAAGTTCTTATACTAACCCAGGTTGAGAGATGATGTGACTTGGGACAGGACTGCAACGTAGGGGCCAAGGTCAGATTTATAAAGGTAAGTCGAAAAGGTGCTGCTGGTGACCTGGAGGAAGGGCACCAGGGAGAGAATTCAGGGGGTGTCACTGATTTCGACCTGAATGGTGCAGAGGACAGAGCTGCCCATGCCACTTGGGCCACGCAAGGCTCGGAGAGGAAACTGGGGACTGTTCTGGAAACGTTCACTCTGAGTTACATTTTGGATGTCTGTGAGGAAACTCTGAATGAGACGTTGGAAATGTGGCAGCTGCTGGTCAGGCGAGATGCTCAGACCGGAGGTGCACACTGGAGAGTTCTGTCCCACAAACTGGATAACATCCTCAGGTGATGAGTGCACGTCGAGGCGGTAAGAGGCCCCGGTGCGAACGTTGGAGACATCAGGATGGAAGCACTTTTGTCAGACCCAGACCAAACGGGGCAGGGAAGAGCCTGAGGAGAGGCGCTATGGTCTGAGATGAGAAGGTCTCCCAGGACTTCAAAACCGTTCCCACATTTCCTGCTTGATAAGGTTTATCACTAGACACAATTCAAGACTTCAGTAAATCAGATAAGTTCTCAGGAGAACACTCTGCCCAGTAGGAACATGCCGGCCGTAGCCTGACAACTCTGGCTTTGAGCCTCTGGAGACAGTGACCCCTGTTTCTTTTTTTTTAGATTAAAAAAAGGAAAAATTTATTTAAAAGTAAATTAGAGAGAGAAAGAGAGGGGAGAGAGAAAATTCACCTCCCCAAGGTGGGGGAGGGGACCAAAGCCAGGAAGCATGGCAACAGCCAAAGCTCAAAGAGCACATGGCCACACCAGAGTCTAAGCAGTTCATGCAAATCTCCTTTTGCTGATAAGAGCTCCCCTTATCCTTCCCTTGCCGAATGCACTGGTGGCTTGCCATTTTGTGAGTTCTGTATTATAACCCCTACTTATAGCTCCAAGCAAACCCAACATATTTAGAGATAATTTTCTCTAGTGTCTTTTTTTTAGAGATTGGGGGAAAAAAATAATCCAGGAAGGTAGGGGGAGACACAAGGGGGTGGGGGTGGATATCCTGGAAATCGAAAGAAGGAAGGAGAGAGCTATGTCAAATGCCCCGCTAGAAAAGGTTTCTGAGAAGAAAGACAAGGACAGAATCAACCGTTCAATCTGGCAACAGAGGTGACACCACCGACTTTGATGATAGCTGTTTCTGGGAAGTAGGGAGGGTAAAAAGGTGACCGAGCTAGATTAAAGGGAGGAGAGAGGCCCAGCATGGTGTCTCAAATTTGTAATCCCAACACTTGGGGAAGCCAAGGTGGGAGAATTGCTTGAGGCCAGGAGTTCAAGGTTATAGTGAGCCATGCTCGCACCACTGTGCGTTAGCCGGAGTGACGGAGCAAGACTTTAGAGAGAGAGAGCGAGAGAAGAGGGAAAGTCGAGACAGACAGTGCAGACAACTCAGATATACGAGTGCATACATCAGCACATTACTGAGTGAGGGCGGCTGTGGTATTTCTCATTGCTTCTGTTTTCTCAGTAAAGTAGGAAGCAGTTCATCGATAGGAAGCGGGGAGAGGAAGATATTGGAAACCCGAGATGAGAGAAAAAGAAATGAAACAATTACCTGGCTTGGTGCGGGGGAGTGACTTGGCTAGTGACGTGTGTTAAGACTACCAGATGGCTCTCTGGGCCCAAGGAGGTTAGTGGTGATGAATATAAAGTAATCTCCGTCAACAAGGCTGTGTTTGTCCCCAGCCACAGTGAGCTCTCTGGGTGAGCTCATGATCACCGGTGAGAAGATGAATTCTATAATGCATACTGCCAGTGAGTCCGAAAAGAAAAATATCACAGCCTTAAAAATAGCATTTGGGATCATATCTAAAAACTCTCCCTGGCTATTAGAAATATGCATGTGGAGGAGAAGATGTGGCAAAAATGAGCAGCTTTGTGAACTGGCAGGCTAGGCAGCTGATTTTACGGGGCCTGTGATGGTTTTTAATCCATTTACTCTCTTGGACTTCCACGGTGCCTGGAAGCCCCAACACTGGTGTTATTCTAAAAAGTTGATGAGCTTGTGATACACAGAGATGGTGTCTATTTTTTTAAAAATCTCTAGAGTGTCAACACAGTGCCAGGAAGCCATGAAATGCTAAACGAATGTTCACTAAGTTGACTTGCGTGGAGCAGAATGCAGGACCACCATTCTTGTGTTTTATTCAGGTTTATGGAGTCGAAGGCACCGTGCCAGACGTTACCAGTGTTTCCAAGATAAGGAAAAACAGACTTTTGTGAAGCCGCTGAGAATAGTGGGACAGTGGTAGGTAGATGCTTACTAGTAGAGGCCTGAATTTTTTTTTTCAGCCACCGCCCACTGACACATAGCTATACAGAAGACAGAAGAGGGCATGCAAACAGCCATGCAGCTCTGTCTCAGGGGCTGCCACAAAGGAGCTGGGAAGGCAGGACGCTCTTGAGGGAACACAGACAGGTCTCCTCTACTGACTTCAACCCAACGTCGCCCGATGGCCCTAGCTGCTGGGAAGGGAACTCGCTTTTCTGCCACTGGGGAAACAAGTGCATGGGCTGAGGTAAAAGACTCCTCTGTAGACACGAACTTACTGGAAAACAGAACCTGGTGAGCTGGAAGCCAAAATTTGAACGTGCTGATCTCTACCTCGTCACCAAGGTGGAAAATACTCCAACACTCCAGGATTTAGGAGGGCTGCTTTAAACCTGACACCACCCCAGCCACAACATTCATTATTATGTCAACTCTTTCCTGGAAGGAAAGACTTTCTTTGCAATTAGCGAAATTCACTTTCTCTTCTGTAATTTTTTTCAACTCCTCAGTTTGTGTTTAATTAAGTGTAAGACAAATAGATGTTTGTTTCTTTTTCCAAGTTGTCTTTGCTTATAGGAAGTGTCTTTGAATTGCTGGAAGAGAACATTCTTTCCCCCCACCTCCAGAGAGAGCTGAAGCAAGAGCACTTTCATTTTGGTGCTAATCTCTTACATCCTTTGTGTCCTCTTTAAAATATGATAAAATCCCGTTAATCTGGCCTCTATCAATTTAAAACTTGCTTACGTTTGTCAGAGTTTGGCTATAGTGTACTACTGGATTTTAGGAAAGACAATAGAAAAATAATTTTTAAAGATATATATGACCTCATATTATTATTGTTATTTTTTTTTTTTTTTTTTTTGGAGTTGGAGTCTCACTCTGTCACCCAGACTGGAGTGCAGCGCAGCCTCGACCTACTGGGCTCCGGCAATCCTTCCGCCTCAGCCTTCCAAGTAGCCAGAATTACAGGCATGCGCTACCACTCCCGGCTGATTTTTTGATTTATTGTAGAGATGAGTGCTAGCTGCCAAGGCAGGTCTCGAACCCGCGGGCTCAAGCAATCCACTCACCTCAGCCTCCCAAAGGCGCGGGATTACAGTCTGAGCCACCGAGCCTGGCATTATTGTTATTATTTAATAAGACTGTGAAGGAGAGATGCAGGAAATGTCTATTTCTGATTATCAACTAGAATAATCACTCAGTAAATGTTTATTGACCTCTTACTGTGTGTCAGTCCCCATTTTGGGCTCAATTGATACAGCAGTGAACAAATCAAAAAAACTCTTGCCCACATTGAGTTTATATTCTAGCTTGAATGAATGAGTGCATTTAACATTAATTAGTATTTAGTATAATGTCTCTACAAAAATAATCAAAAAATTAGCATGGTGACACATGCCTATAGTCCCAGCTACTCGGGAGGCTGAGGCAGAAGGATCACCTGACAAGGTTATATGGGAGATTAAATAAAGTAGTAGTTATAAAACTCTTGGCCCAGTGCTTGGCAAACAGTAGGGGTCCAGTAAATGCTTTTTGTTTTTAATAACTAGTCTGTAAAATTTTTGAGAATTACTAACAGGAAAAGGTGTACTTCAAATACACTAAAGAAGACTTTGAAAAACTCAAGTAAATAAAACAAGAAACTTGAATAAGGCACCACTACCCCAGTGTGCCCATAGCTTTCTGGGTTTTAAAACTGAAAGTCCTGTGTCCTGGGTACCCCTTAAGTATCAGAAAAGCCAGGAAAACTGATCAGCCTATATGGGCACTACATTTAAGATCTGAGGGTCATTATTGACAACGGCTTCTGTGAATGCAGTGCTAACTCTAGACCTGGAGGGTGACGTACACTCTAAAAGCCAAATTCCTCTTCATGAATTAGAGCAAACTTGTGCACAAGTTTCTATTTTCAGACCCACTTTAAAGATAAAGAAACAGCACCTTGAAGAGATTAGTAAGTTGTCTAAACTCTAGAAGGAAAACAGAGCTGAGATTTAAAATTGTGCTGTGCTTACTCCCATGAGGTCCCACTGCCATGTACTTACCAATGAATAAAAAGTACAGAAATATCGTAGCACACATTGCCCCACAGAGGGAAAATATTCATGGCCCTTAAAGGGCACTGGTGGGTTCGCGGATCTAAGTAGGAAGCTGGGAATAATCAGCTTACACGTTCACGTTTCAGACTGATTTCTCGGTGATCTGCTGAAGGCAGAACTCCGGCAAACAGGAGTAGAATTGCTGATGTGAAACCCCTGAGGAAGGAACCTACCTCTTCACGTGCACCACATACTTTGTCTCTATGTAGGTGGGTTTCCCAGTATTCCAAGTGCAAGTCATGTTGCCTGAATATTCATAAATGACACAGGTGACCTCATCGGGAACATCTGGCGGATCTGCAATAAAACACACCCCTTAGGAGTTGCCATCAGAAACATGGAGTCCTTTAAGAAGGCGTGAGCTGGTGAGCTGTCCACTGAATTTGGGAAGCCAGGACATCAGCATTCACTGCCTTCCAGTCCCTCACCCCCTATTACCTTACCTTGCCCACTTTGCCATCAAGCACCACTCCTCTCCTTCATTGACTTGACTGTATTCTCTGCTACTTTGTGTATATGAACTTGGTCAAGTTCCTCCCATTCAAAAAAACAGAAAAGCCTCATCCTAAATTCTGTCTCCCTTCAGTTACTGTTGTGTCTTTCTCCTTTTCTTAACAGGTAAACATTTATTTATTTATTAAACTTTTTTGAGTCAGAGGCTTACTGTCTCCCAGACTGATGGGCAATGACACTATCATGGCTCACCACAGCCTCAACCTCCTGGGTTCAGATGACCCTTCTGCCTCAGCCTCCCAAGTAGCTGGGACTACAGACACACACCACCACACCCAGCTAAATTTTCTTTTCTTTTTTCTTAGTTTTTGGAGACAAAGTCTTGCTATGTTGTCCAGGTTGGTCTCAAACTCTTGGTCTCAAACGATCCTCCCGCCTCAGCCTCCCAAAGTGCTGGGATTACAGGCATGAGTCACACCCAGCACATATAAACATAATTAAGGAGTCTATTACTTTTCATCTTCCATTGACTCTTGAACTCAAAGCAATCAGGGTCTGGCTCCCATAATTCCACCAAAACCCCTGTTGCTAAGGTCATCCATGACTTTCTGTTCAATACACTCTATAATCTCTGTGGTCACTGAGCTTGACCTCTGTGGCACCCAACATTCCACTCCCTCCCTCCTTGAAAGCTCTCTGTGTTCTGGTGCTTGTGGAAGGATCTGTCAACAGTTTTCTTCTACTACTTTGGCAAACTCTCTTCTCTGGCATGTATACCACTTCTCACTTTAAAAGTTCATTGTTCATACATGCAATGGAATATTATTCAGCCTCAAAAAAGGAAGGACATTTTGACACATGCTACGACATTGATGAAACTCGAAGAGGCTATACTAAGAGAAGAAAGCCAGACACAGAAGGCCAAATGCTGCATGGTTTCTGCTTACACGAGGTATCTAGAATCGTCAGACTCCTAGAGACAGAAAGCAAAATGGCAGGGGCCTCTCTAGGGAAAGTGCACATGACTCAGGATGGACTGATCAGAACTCTCCAAGGGACTTTTTCTGCAGTCATTGTAGATAGGCAAGTTCTTTCCCCCCCGAAACTACTATCTCTGAGTAGAATGTGAGCTGAGGTGCTGGTAGCCATCTTACTGTCATAGTGAAAACAGTCTTTTCCACAGTCTTTAGTCTGTTAAAGAGTGAAGCCAACACAGGGGAAAACAAAACCCAAGAGACAGGAAAAGATGAGAGAGTTCTGATCATATTTTTGAGTCCTTGGGGCCTCTAAAGCTCATGCAACCCCAACAACTATAGAATGGCGCCTGGGATTTTTGTTTATGTCATCTAATAATGAATAACCAAGATCGAGTTTGAAAAAATAAGTATGGAAACATCGAGTGCTTATCAAATCTACTTTCCAGGGGTGGCTCTCTCAGCTTGTCCCTACATGTGAAACACTGCCTGGGTCATTGACAACCCAGATACTGACAGGAGACATGGAGGAACAAGGGCTCATAAATACTAAAAACACCGGCATTGACACACCTTAAGTTGCATCCAAAGATGCATCTTCAATGCACATATGCTCTTTCACTTCACCTGCAAATTGTCCACCAAGGATATTACTCGTAAAATAATAAACAGATATATTAAAAATGTCATCCTCATTGAAAACTAAAGGGGTTATAGTTGTCACCTAAACCTATCAAATTACCACTTCAGCCTGAGTGACAGAATGAAGCCCTGTGTCAAAAAAAACAAACAGGCCATTGCCTTACTAGACACTGGTGTGTCCATGTGCTCTTTGAGCTATGGCCACCGCCCCTACCTGGGAGAGGTGACTCTCCTCTTTCTTTTGATCTTTCTAATTTACTTTCTAAATAAATTATATTTTCTAATCTAAAAAATAAAAATAAAAAATAAAAAACAAAAAAATAAGCATTTTTTAAAAACCTATCAAATTCTCAAGGATTTTGAAAAACGGTCATACACGGTGTTGGAATGGATTCATGGAAATCCTCTAGCCCACTTCTGGAGAAAGTACAACTAGGTACAACCTTTATGGAGAGTATCGTATTCATCACAATCTTTAAAAGTGGGAGTGGTACCTTGAAACCTAGCAATTTTACATCTAAGAATGCATCCTTAATAAAATGGTCACGTGTATATATATATATATATATATATATATATATATTTTTTTTTTTTTTTAAATTGGCTAAAAGGATGTGCTCTTAAAGTATTGTTCACAATAATAAAAAATTTTAAACAGCCTCAACATCCCAAAATAAGGTAAAATAAACTACAATACAGTCCTAAAATACATCCAAAAGCCATGTAGTAGAACACAATTTAAGTACTGGCCTTTGGAAGGCACTATAAGTATATTTAATGGATTAAGTATTGATCATATAATAAAGTAAAAAAAGCAAGTTGCAAAATTGTTTAGTGTAGTGATTTTATTTGAGAGAGAGAAAGTGAGAGATTGAGAAAGAGAGACTGAAACTTGAAAAACATATTCCAAATGACTAAAGAGGGGCCATGTTACTGGTAAAATGATGAGATTTTACTGGTAAAATGATGAGATTATGGGAATGGTGGGGATTTCTTTTTTGCTGATCTATACTTTTTCAAACTTTCTATATTGAATGCAATTTGATTTTACAATTAATTTTTTTAACGTATCAAAGTTCTAATACCCTAAAAAAAAAAACTATTTTCAAAAAGTAAGAGCACACTGAAGTACTTTAAAACATTTTGGTGACTTGTAGTATTGAGTTGCAATGGAGATAAACTGGGTTCCAAGTAAGGTGAAAGGAATCTTTGCTTTAACCGAGTCTTAAAGAAGGTGGGTGTGGAAACAAAGTTCAATCACTTTGGAGATTGGAGATTGATTGAGTTGTGGTTCCTCACTGATTACAATGACTTATGCTGAAGTTATTTTTCCCTGGTTTCAGATAGAGAACATGGTTGATTTGGACATCAGAAAAGATAACTGTCAATCTTTTGGTCTGTGTCACCCCACAGGATTCTATGTGGAGTGAATGCCCTGGATTACAAACGTCTGCTGGTTAATTAACATGGAGAAAGATAAAAAAGACAACTCGATACACACACGAGCAAAGAAGTGTTTGTTCATGTGAAGCCATGTACAGATGGGCCTGTGAGTGTGGTTATGAGCGTAACGTCTGATTGTGGTTAGATCTCATTGACAGGTTATTCAGTAACCAAGAAAATATCCCACTATACCACTAGATACCTAGAGAATACCCTGATCACACAAGGAGAAGCTTATGTGTTTGTTCCTTCCTACTGATCCCACCCCTCTCCTGTTACTGGGACACTCACCAGCCACCACAGGTCAGCTTTTATGTTAATCCCGAGTCTGGCCAAGGATCCTTTTCTACTGAGAGCTTCTTGGAAGCAGAGGGCTGTGATTCCCTCCTCTCCTCTGCATTTCTAGCATCTAATATGTTTTCGGTGCATAGTAACCATTCAGTGAAATGTGTTCTATTAACTGATTGGCTTGATTAATAAAATAATAATGAGAAGAATTAAAATGAAAGCCCAGTAAGTTTGGGATTTTTAAATAAATAGAGAGATTTTGTAGTGTTTTATCCCATGATTAGTGTGGTCCTCTCAGAATAAATTTCCCTAGATGTGTATACATTTGATAGCAGATAAGAAGCTAAGACATGTTTAGGATTGTGGCTAAAAATGGAAATTTTGATAATAGAGTTCATATTTCACAAATTACACATTAAAGCACAGAAACTTTTAAATGAATTTGGCTATCTTTTCAAGGAGAATAATGACTTGTTTATCTTCTGCCTTTTATGCTTTGTCTCCGGTCTAATATACAGATGTATAAAATCATTTTACTCAAAAGAGTTATGACACGTTGACATAGTAAAACTCACAGGACAAATACCCTGTGATCAGTGAAAGCAATGTGATTTCTAGAATGCCACAAAACCCTCAAAACCTTTTATTGACCTACTTAGAAAGGAAGTTTTGTTTGCTAAGAATGCAGAGTCCAAGAAGACACTCAGCTTGAATCCATGGGTTTGAGTAAATTCTTTCCTGGCAGTTACGTTTTTGTACTCATAACCAGAGGTCTACGTAAGGAGTTACAACTCACAAGCTAAGGAAACGGAAAGAATGATGTTCTTTCTTCTAGGCTATCCTGGAAGGGGAGCAAAGTCCACTCTCTTTCCTTTCACATCACCTGGTGTCGGCTTGGGGGCAGAGGCCCTGTGGGTAAGCCGTTACACAAATTGCAGCAAGGGAAGGCGTCAGATATAATGTGTAGGAAGCCACTTTCTGGGACTGAGCTCATGCACTAGGCCTCAACAGACCAAACCGAAACGAGGTCACTCCTGCTGAGTGGCAAAGTGAAACTTTAAGGAAGCAGGTACAAACCCAGGCAGGTCAGGCTTTCCTGAAAATAGGAGATTCACAGCAACTAGGTGGAAAGGGCCTACTCAAAGTGAGGTGAGCCGGCACTAGGAGGAAATCCCCTCTGCCTTTTTTTTTTTTTTTTTTTTTTTGGTTTCTCACTCCGTCACCCAGGCTGGAGTGCAGTGGCACACTCACAGCCACCACAGTGTCAACCTGCTGGGCTCCGGCGATCCCTCCATCTCAGCCTTCCAGGTAGCCAGAACTACAGGCACATGCTACCACACCCGGTTGATTTTTTGATTTATTGCAGGGACAAGGTCTCACCATGCTGCCCAGGCTAGTCTCGAACCTGCGGGTTCAAGCAATCCTCTCACCTCGGACTCTCCGAGTACTGGGATTACAGGTTTGAGCCACCATGCCCAGCCTGCTTTCACCTTTACAAGGAAAATAACCTGATGTTAACCAATCTGGCTTTTCAAAAAAAAAATTTTGTTACCTTGTTCCCACCTTATTGGAACCAACTGCTCTGTCATGTCCAGTGAGGCACTTATCTATTTTATAGAAAGAGAACCCACTCAATTCATGAATTACACATAAAAGCCAATTGTATCTAAAAACTAAATTGGTTGAAATTTTTGTTTTTTAACAGAGGTTTTTTTTTTTTTTTTTGACCTCACTATGTCACCCAGGTTGGTCTTGAACTCCTGGGCTCAAGCAATTCTCTCCCCTTGGCCTCCCAAAGTGCTGGGATTATAGTGAACCACTGTACCAGGGCCAGAGGCAATATTTATTTTGCTTCCTTTCTTCTCAGGCTTAAAGTAATACCTGTCCTTTTCCCATAAACGTGGAAGTTGCTTATTTGCTCTCCAAAGAAATAGTATAGTCTCTCCACCCTCACTTCCATCCCCAAAGGCTATGTCATCCACAAATCAAATGCTGAGCCTCCACCAGCTGAATGAAACCCCTGTGGCCAAGGGCCATCCCCCCCAAAAACACTTAAAAATGTACCTCCCAACCATGACAGACAGGAAGTCAGATGTACCTCATTGTACCCCCTTCTTTTCATAGTTTAGACATAACAACTGACCAGAATGATTGTGAAACAGAGATCTTATGACAAAACACTCTTTGTGGCAATACGACACAAAATTAAACCCACAGAAGGCAAGGGTTGAGCCATACACCCCTACACTTAAAACACTGTGTTCTAACTGCCATGAGGGTTTTCTTCTTCTCTAGCAGCTGAACAAGCACTGGCCTCGGGATAAGCAGCATTAAAGCAATTGCAAAATAAAATAAAATAAAATAAAGCAATTGCAACTCATCTTGCTCACAGACACTAACTGAACCCGGTTCTACCAGTCGTCATTACAGCTTTCACTGGGCACGAAACTGATTTCAGTAACTTTCTCCAGACAGGAAGACCACCAACCACAGACTGGTTCTGAGTGAGGGGTTTACAGAGATTCTGCACCTTCAAGTCCTGAAGAGACCTTTTGACATGTAGGACTTCACTGTAATGCATGCACACGTTAAGTCTCCACCCAAAGTCAACAGGAGTTGTAGGTTACATGTATGTTTGTTCAACATGCATGTGCCAGTACTACCTTTATGGCTATCCGCAGCTCCTCCTATAACCTGTTGAATATGCATGTTTAGCCAGCCCGTTTACCATCATTCTCCTCCTTCTAAGTGCTTGTCTCTGGTCTTGGCCAGAGGTGACGCTTACAAGAAATAAAGTCTTTTCTCCTTTTCTAAGAATATAAATTGTGTGTGTGTGTTTGTGTGTGTGTGTGTGTGTGTACAGATAAATAGTAAAGTATTTAAGCATCGAGGTTTGGTTGTGTTTCCTGAGGATGTGGACAGTCAAGATTTCATATATCAAGTAAGATGTCTTCCTGTGGTTGACTTTCCACAATATAGGGCAAGTTTAGCATGTTAGTTTAGGGCAACTTTATTCTTTGGCTCCAAAACTCACTACTTTCCCTCCTTAGCTCACCTCTACCACTTCCTGTAGTTCCCTCTTTTGAAAAACATGCAGGGTCAGCTGCCCAGAGTTAAGTAGGACAGTGGCCTCATTCTTGAGCAAGGAAGGCTCCTGCTTTCCAGGAGGCCACTATAGGGCCTGGGGTTGGTGCTGCCATTGGTCTGGTTCTGGCTGTGTTCTACAGGTGAGGAAGAAGCAAGAGCTTGGATTTGATTCTCAAGAGTATGGAGGAAGGGAACATGGCAAAGATCCAACTTCCTTTATTTTTCAGTGAGAATGGGCCCAGGTGCCAGAGAATGAATCTGGGGGTTCAAAAAATGCTAAACTTATCGACCTACCCTTCATAATAGTAGAACCAAGAATTCAGTATGTAATTACACAAGTCAGTCCATATCGCTTAGTAACTTAAACACCTTCAGAATACCAAGACCACAAATTGAATTTAGCATATATCTTTAAGATTAACTTGACTAAGTTTTTTCTTAATTAATAATTACTGTCACAGACACAGGAACTCACAACTGGAGTAGCGGGGTTAGGAGCAAGGGATTATATCAGAATCTTTCCGTGTTTTATCAAAAGGATGCATCTTTAAGCATTTAGGCTTTGATGTTGCACTTTAAACTTTATCCTATGCTTTCAAATTAATTACTGAAGTTCAGTGCTTAATGCAGCCTGTATAATTAGCCTCACTTTAAGGGCAAGAAACTGAGGCTTAGATGGGTCAAGCACCTCGCCCAAGGTCACAAAAACTGGGAGTACAGTGGGAGCACAAAGCTAGTTTTGAACGCTCCCTAAATCTTGGCCTCAAAATTTCTCAATGGGATCTGCTTCAAGGTTGATGATATTAGTCTGAAAAACAAATGAACAAAAGTATAAGCAAAAGGAAGATGGCAAGGGCAGAATTTTAAGTCAGAGGGCATAAGCCCTCACACACGCAGGGTCTGGCCAGGCCAGGGATAAAAAATTGGTTTTTGAATGCAATGGCAACATTTTGAAATTTGGGGAGTTCATATGAAAATTTGTATTTCTGTCTTCTCAAAAGATCTAGGCATCCTGGGTCTCTGTGAAGGCTGGATTTGAGCAGTGGCTGCCCCCACCAGACCACCGACGTTTCTTCCCTGCACAAATCCCACCAGCCTGCGTACTTTACATGGCTCACGAACCTGGCCCTGGAGATGAGTTTCCAATTCCTGTATTAAAGCAATCTAAGAAGTGAACTGGATCAATTAGCCTCTATTTTTAGACAAGACTGGTAATCACTTGTTAATTATTAGATTAGCTTTTGTTTGCATTTTGAATGTGCCCCAACACTTACATCCAGAAGAAATGTCTTGTCCACATATCAGTGTCTCTTGAAAACGCCTGGGACATTCAGCAGTGCAGTACACAGAGGCGTGCGGTTCCAGAAAGCTTTTATACCAAAGCCGAGCTGTTGTTTTATTAACTCTTGTGATCTGAAATCTCTCTTTGATGCCATTTTTATAAAAATAAAATGTCCTTGGTTGGCAGTTCTTAATTGCTGCTTGGCAATATATGGAGATATTCATACCCATCTTAAAAATTACAGCTGGTTCTACCCAGATGTGGCCAGAGCAGTTTATATTTGTAATTCCTGGAAATAAATAGATAAAACAATAAGTTCTAGGCAAAACAGTAAAGCCAGATTCAGAAGACGATGCTATTGCATTGTAAATGTATTATTTTCTACTAGTTAAATGATTTCCACTGAAAAAAATTCAGGAGGCCAGGCTCAGTGGCTCAGCCAGTCATCCCAGTACTTTGGGAGGCCAAGGCGAGTGGATTACCTGAGCCCGTGGGTTCGAAACCAGCCTGGGCAACATGGTGAGACCTCATCTCTACAATAAATTTTAAAAAAAAATTAGCCAGACATGGTAGTGCACACCTGTAGTTCCGGCTACTTGGAAGCCTGAGGTGGAAGGTTCACTTGAGCCCAGCAGGTCAATGCTGGGGTGGCTGTGAGCGTGCCACTGTGTTCCGGCCTGGGCAACAGAGTAAGACTCCAACTCAAAGACAAAAACAAAAACAAACTTTAGGACTAAGTATGTCTTTTCACTAATTAGCTTTAATATAGTGTGTTTCTACCCATGCTTCTGTTGATTTTCAGTAGCATGACACAATGCCAGGGTCAGCCGTGAGCTTCTCTAATTGTCAAAAGAGTAAGTTTAATGAGCTCTCCCACTTTAAAGTGAACAGAGGCATTATGAGGCCACACCATTTCTCAAAGGTGAGATTAGAAATAACACTGGGCACTGCATAATCTGAACCCTATTCTCTTGCTACGCAATCAATCTTTTGTTCTTTTTTAGATAAAGGCTACCTTATCAGCAAATTATGACTATAATGGATAAAACTATACTCTTGCCAATGACAAAAATCTAGTGCTTGATAACTACATAACATCCATAATAAATGTAATAATATGGAAAAATGTTTAGAACATACCGTTAAGGAAAAAAGCACCATGAACATTTACCATCATACTCTAAGAAAGGGATTGCCAGTAGCAGGATGCTACATAACGTCAATAAGCATACCTGATCTCCAACCAGACAAAGTGGGGACCAAAGGGAGGCCCACATTTTAACTGCACGATGACCACTTGTATACCTAATTCTGAACTGTACCCTACATCTTTAAAAAAAAAGAAAAAAGCAAGTCGCAAAACAACATTTTTTTTCTTTCTTTCTTTTCTTTTTTGAGTTGGAGTCTCACTCTGTTGCCCAGGCTGGAGTGTAGTGGCACACTCATGGTCACCGCAGCTTCCACCTGCTGGGCTCAGGTGATTCTTCCACCTCAGCCTTCCGAGTACCTGGAACTACAGGTTCGCTCCACCACACCTGGCTAATTTTTTGATTTATTGTAGACACAGGTCTTGCCAAGTTGTCCGGATTGGTCTTAGGCCTCGGGGCTCAGACAATCCTCTCGCCTCCACCTACCAAAGTGCTGGGATTACAGGCGTGAGCCACTGGACCTGGCAACATAAGCTCTGTGTTAGAGTAATTCTTTCACTGATCTTTCTTTTTCTTTTTCTTCCTTCCTTCCTTCCTTTCTTTTTCTTTTTTCTTTTCTTTTTTTTTTGAGCCAGGATCTCATTCTGTTGTCCAGGCTGGAGTGCAGTGGCACGATCATAACTCACCACAGACTCAACCTCCTAGGCTCAGATAATCCTTCTACTTCAACTTCCTAAGTAGCTAGGACTACAGGCACCTGCCACCATGCCTGGCTAATTTTTTAAATTATTATTTTTATTTTTTGTAGCAACAAGGTCTCACTATATTGCTCAGGCTGGTCTCAAACTGCTGGACTCAAGCCATCTTCTCACCTCAGCCTCCCAGAGTGCTGGGATTGCAGGCATGAGCAACCATGCCCAAACAATTTTTCTCACTTTTAAAAGGTATATTTACATGTTTAAAAAATTATATAATGAATATGTTACTTTTGTAACCAAAAAGCTAATTTAAAATCTTTTTTATAAACTCAAATGACAATGCAATGTAATGTTAATGAAATGAAATGAAATTTACATCAAGGAAAACATTCTAAAGTTTCTGTCAAATTTATTATAGGTTTTTTCTGGAAATAACTGAATTAAAATATATTTAAACCTTACCAAGATGGTGATAACTAAAAGTTAGAATTTCATTTTTATAGGCCCTTATCTTTGGAACATAAAGCTTAAAGAATTAACTTGTTGCATAATTTAAATGTAATTGGATATTTCCATTTATGTAATGAAAATTTACATATAAATTATAAATATCTAAATGTCGAAGTAGATAAAAAGAGTTTCATCATCAACAGGGAGTTGAAGCCAAAGCCATGAAAAGGAGGTTTTGAGAAAGTATCTGGCTACTTTCAGTAAGTTCAACAATTCGAGTCTAGATAAATGTGCTTAATGTTAAACATTAAACACATTAATGAAACAAGTGAATCATACAATATTATGAAACCATTGTGATTAGATTTTGAGAATATATAGAAAATGTCAGCAATGTCAGAAGACTTCAGTTTTGGACAATGTTGTTCTGGTGTCCAAAAATAGGAGAACTTTGAACTTCACAACACACAGGAGTAAATTCGTAGGTCAATGGTTTTTCAATGTACAGAAAAATAATTGGTGATCAATAAAAGTCAACATGGATTATAAAAGAATAAATCATATAAAATGTTGATTTCCCTTTTTAATAGGGTTATTAGATTGGACTGAAGAATGCCAAACATAGTATATTTTTAGTTTCTGCAAAGCTATTGAAAATGAGTAATATAACAGTCTAGTTAAAAAAAAATGTAGCCTGAATAATATTAAAAATACTCATAGCTGATTGAACAACACTATCTAAAATAATCTTGAATGGACAGCTACAAGGTCTGTAATAGTCTGTCACAGGGCTTGCCTTATTTCTATACGCTTTATGTTAGTCACTCAAATGTACAAACAGAAGTCCCATTATCATTTGATATTTCAAGAAGCTGAAGACATTAGCTGGGGTCTTACTTCCCCAAGACTTCCTTGGATAGCTGTTGATCTGACTCTGAAAGTGTCCCGAGCCATCCTGGCGAGAGGTTCTGGTTCTGAGAACGTGCCTATGTCTGTTTCTCCAAGGTACCTGTGCTCCCACCTCCAGACGCTGGCTTTTCTTTCGTCACTAACCTGAGTAACCTGGTCTGTGAAACTCCATTCTGGAGCCCTGCCTAGGCATTGTTTTTCTTTCCAGTAGTTGAATTCCTGTCACTTGCTAAGGATGCTGCCGTCCCCAACAGAGACTCCCAAATGCCAGCTGCTACTCTGCCTGAATTTGTTGATGATCCTCTTCCTGGATCTTTCAAAGCCGCGTATACCTCTCTTCCAAGACTCTATTTTGCTGCACAGGGCCAAATGTTTGAGTTATAAAACCGGATTGGCCAGGTGCGATGGCTCACGCCTATAATCCCAGCACTTTGGGAGTCCGAGGTGAGAGGATTGCCTGAACTCACGTGTTTGAGACCAGCCTGAGCAACTTGGTGAGACCTCATCTCTACAATAAATCAAAAAATTAGCTGGGCGTGGTGGCGCATGCCTGTAGTTCCAGCTACTTGGAAGGCTGAGGCGGAAGGATTGCCTGAGCCCAGCAGGTGAAGGCTGCGGTGGCTAGGAGCATGCCATTACCCTCCAGCCTAAGCAACAGAGTGAGACTTCAACTCAAAAAAAAAAAAAAAAAAAAAAAGATTGGATTCATAATAACACATAATAGCACGACACAAGGTTGTTCTGAGGAATAAAAGGCCAGCACAAAACCTGGCATGGAGTAACCCTCCATGAATGGCTTATGAAATTTAATTAAATCCAAACGTGTGATGGGTTATCACATAACAGTAATAATAGTTTAAAGATACAACATGCTAACTCAAAGTAATAAGCACCTTTGAGAACATATTAATATATGAGTTAGAGGACTGTCCATCAGGGATATTTGCAACAGGAATCCTGTATCTGGAGGGAGACTGGATCATTTTAATTTCATTCTGTATAATTTTTATGCACACATTTTCCTCAATCTAATAATTTTTTGCTTTCTTCAGAGATTCTAGCATAATGCCTTGACAATAAAAATCGCTCCACATTCTGTTTGTTGAATAAAAGATAGAGACAGATCTGCAAAATACTATACCTCCATGACACCAACTGAAGAGTACATAAAACGCTATTACCGTGTCCCACTGGATGGTGAGCTGATTCATACCCGGAGGAAAGAGAAGTCCTTGGCTTCCCTCTGGAAAAGAATGTGAAAACTGTTTAGATTTTAATATTTTACTAAAATAATGAAAAACATTACCTTTCTTCCTAACAGTTATTGTCTTTGGTGGGAACCTTTGATTATGAAGAAAAGGAAGGGGAAAGGGGAGTAAAAAAGGAAGGAAGGAAATAAACAGGAAATGTTCCTGGTGTATTGAGGAGTAAAGCAAAAGAATGGAATTATATCCACTTCTAAAACCGCTATGAATCACCTTAGTGGGACGTTTGACCCTGGTTAATGTCCTGCTCCTCTCTCTGAGCTAACTTCTGATAATGAATTTGTCTGACCGCTGTTATGTGCCTGTCACACACTAGATAGATGTATTAGTCTTTGATGAGCAAAACTTGGAAAAAGTCAAAAATTGTTGAACTCCCAGAGAAAAAGTATCCCAAATGAAGAAAGATAAAGTGAGACAAAGGCCACCAGTTAAATGTTTAGAAAACCCTTCCGTCTGTAGAGACCTCAAAAGAAACACAATATAGGAATTCCGAACAATAATGTCACTAGTTTACAACTAGAGTTGCATTATTCAAATAATTACTTATATTATTGCACAATTCAGTTACTCAATAATCCATAATGTTCAGTTATTTATCTTGTTAATCTGTTTAATGAAACTGAGCTTTTCATACAAAACAACAACAAAACACAACTCATGGCTCATCAAGAAGCATAAAATATAACATTTTTTAAAAACTGGGGTCCCCGGGGCCCAGGAACATAAGGGTCCCTTTCATGATCTGTTAGTAGTAGCAGCTGTTCTCTTAATAAGAGGCCACACAAGCCATAAAAGGTTGCTAGTTAGAAATTAACCACTCATGTCATAAATATGCAGTCATTATTTTTAAAGTGACATAATGCCAAACAATATTACATATTCAACTTTCATCAGTAACCAGTGTGTGCAATTTCATGAGAATTTGCAAGAGAAAACAACTTGGTCCACATATATCCGAGAGGAAATACAGCTGTCTTTAAGTATTTGAAGGGTCGGTGTCCCTTTACCTTTTGGCCTGTGAGAAGCACATCACTCCACCTCAGAGCCAGGCTGCCACCTTGCTGGCCGTGTCATGTCTTCCCTGCCTGCAGCCTGCCTGTCAATGATCACTTCAGATTTTCAGCTCTGAGACAGATGGAAATGTCAACCGAGCCTGACCTACATCTGATTCTTGAAGAGGAACTCAAATTCTCCATTTCGAAATGACTGACTCTCGTGTCACTATTTGGGAAAACCCAGATTACTGAAAGTGAACTGCTTTGTCAGAACTTTTTATCTCAGCTTAAACTTATTGGTCCCATCCAAGAAGTAAGCACACATACATTTTTGTTTTTCAAAATCTTTGACACCAAAAATATGATGCTGAGTTTTATTTAATTTTTTTTATTTTTTGAGTTGGAGTCTCACTCTGTCGCCCAGACTGGAGTGCAGTGGCCGCTCCCGGCCACCGCAGCCTCGCCTGCTGGGCTCCGGCGATCCTTCCGCCTCAGCCTTCCGAGCAGCCGGAATTACAGGCATGCGCTACCACGCCCGGCTGATTTTTTGATTTATTGTAGAGATGAGGTCTTGCTGCCCAGGCGGGTCTCGAACCCGCGGGCTCAGGCAACCCACTCACCTTAGCCTCCCAAAGTGCGGGATTACAGGCTGAGCCACCGAGCCCGGCTGATGCTGAGTTTTAATTTACAACCAACACTGATCTCAGTTGTAACCTGTTTCCTTTAAAATTTTCCAGCTTTATTGAGGTACAACAAAGCTATAATAATGAATGGAAGTATATGATTTGATGGTATACGATGTGGTCATTTGGTATGTATATATTTGTGAACTGATGATCGCAATCAAGTTACTTAACGCATCTCTCACCTCATTTAGTTACCCTTTGCTTTGTTTTGTGGTGAGAATATTTAAGCACATTTTAAGTATACTGTACAATTCGGTATTGCTGACTCTGGTCACCATGCCATTTATTAGAGCTCCTGAACTTACTCATCTCACCACTGCTGGTTTGTGCACTTTGGCCAGCACCTCTGCCCTCTTCCCCAGTAACTCTATTCTCTGAGTTCTCTGAGTACTTTTGATTCCATGAATAAGTAAGATCATGCAGAATTTGTCTTTCTTTGTCTGAGTGATTTCACTTACCACAAAGCCCTCAATTTTCATCCATGGTGTCACAAATGCAGAATTTCCTTCTTTTGTATGGCTGAATTGTGTGTATGTATGTGTGTGTGTGTGTGTGTGTGTGTGTGTGTGTGTGTGTGTGTGGTGTATGTATATATGTATCTATAGAGTATATATATACACATATATACAATTCATATATATATAGTGTATATATATGTATATATGTGTATATATATATATACACACACATTCAATTTCTTTAGCATTTCATCCATTGACAGACACTTAGCTTATTTCTATGTTTGACTATTGTGATTAATGTTGCAATGAACACATCTGCATGGTGCTAATTTAATTTTTAGAGGGCATATATCTAGAAGGTGGATTGCTGGGTCATATGGTAGTTCTAGTTCAAATTTTTAAAGGAAACTTCATATGGTTTTTGGTAATGACTGTATCAACTTACATTCCCACCACCAACAGGGTACAAGGGTGCCTTTTCTCTGTACCCTGACCAACTCTTGTATCTTGTCTTTTTGCTAATAACCATCCTAAAATATGAGAAATTTTGACTTGTATTTCTCTGATGATTAGTGTTGGTGAGCTCCTTTTCATACACCTATTGGCCATTTGTATGTATTATTTTTAAAAAATCTGTTCAGATCCTTTGCCCATTTTTATTTATTTTTTATTGCTGTTGTTTATAGTATGAGAATCTTAGCTGGGAATTTGCACATTGGGCAACTCAAAATTTCCACATATGTTTGTGAATAACCACCACACCAAAGTGTCATGAACATTAATTTGGGGTTTACAAATAAATTTTAGCTACTAGGCAAATCTTCAAAAACAAAATCCATGAATAATGAGGATTGACTATACAAAATTTCATATGTGACTGGTATGACTTCACTTGTTCATCAGAAAGCATTAAGACCTTCTCCTCATAGGCAGGGTTGCTACCTGGGTTTGCCTGGGCCAGTTCAATTTTAACCTGACACTCCACTTTATTTTCAAAATTATTCCAATTTGAAAAAAGGCGGCTGATATAAAATGTGTGATCCTGAAAACATATATGAAATTAATGGGTGCATTTTGAGCTTTACCATTTGTACAACACATCATCAGGACAAGTATATCATAGTGCAATATTTTAGATGTTTTTTCCAGCTTTAAAAAGTCTACTTTAAAGAACTAAAACAGAACAGAAGAGAACAACTACAGTTGTAGTTCTTGTGCCATCATGATGTTCTATAAATTTACCTGCCCACTGTGGATTAAAGGTATCTCCTGTCTACCTGTCCAGAGGCAACAAACATTGTCATAAACTAAATGGCTACTGGAAGGGGCTTGTCATCATCCATATGAGCTGCTATAACAAAATACCTTAGACTGGGTCATCTACTCATAAGTGAAACGTATTGCTCACTGCTCTGGAGGGTTGGGAAGTCTAAGATCAAAGCACTAGTAGATTTGCTGTCTGGTGAGGGCTCACTCTCCTCTTCTACGTGTCCTCGCATGGCAGAAAGAAACAGCAGGCTCTCTCAGCCCTCTTTCCTATGGGCACTAATCCCATTCAGGAGAGCTCAGTCCTCGTGACCCAGTCACTTCCCAGAGGCCCCACCTCTTAAAACCAGCACATTGGGGATTAGATTTCAACGCATGAATTTTGGAGAGGCACAAACACCCAGGCCAACACAAGACTCCTTATAGTGGATTAGGCAGAATCTCCCAGTTTTAAAGGAACAAGTGGAAACCAAGACCCCGGGTGTCAACTCTTGTCTAGCAATGCTGGTCTATCCATAGGGGAGCAGACCTGGCAGAACTTATCTTGCTTCAGGTGGCAGAGCCATAAGTGGGTGTAGAATGCAGGAATAGACTGTTGGACCCTGAGACGGGAACTCAGTGAATCTCCAACTCTGAATAGAGGTGAGAAACCTATCTCCTTTATATGGGACAGTGATCAACAACCCCAGCATCTTCTAGTAGGCCTGGTTTAGGCTTGGTAGCATGGTTGCAGATGGAGACTAGGAAACTTTTCCTGAATCTGTGCTTGCATAGCTAGAACACTCCTTTTACTTGGCGAACTGTGCTTCTTTGAAGTGGCTTTAGTCAGGGAGAGGCTCTGAACATTATAGTGTGTAAAGCTCCCAAGCCGTCCCCTCAAAGGTACCACTGAAGATGAAAATTACACTAGAAAGACCTGATTTGGGAGACTTGAAATTTTGTGTTTTAGGGATCTAGCAATTCTGTATGGAATGGGGCAATCAATATTATGGGAGGGTCAAGAGGCTGATAGGTGGTTGGGTGAGTTGGTTTTTGAAGCAGAGATGATGGCAACCACTAACTACAGAGTCAAAGGGACGTTTCTTAATCTGTGGGTATGCTCTGTAGAGGCACTTGCACATATCTGCATGATTCTTGATAGGTAGGATGCCATGGTACAGCCCAGTGTCTCTCTAACGTGGGGGGAAAACAGGTGTCCCCCCATTTGAGAGGGCTTACTGTGCCACAATGGGTAAACTGTGACTGGACATCCTCCGCCCCGCCCCACCAGGACAAAATACACACCCACCCTCATTCTTGAGCAGCCATAAACTCATCCAAAATGACAGAATTGTCCTTAGAAAGACAATTCTAAGAGAAGGCTGAGGGCTTGTTTTGGTTATTGTTTTTCCTAAATTACATAATAAGAGCCATGCTTTGAAACAGTTCCCCAATTCTTGGTGGAATAAAAGTCTAATTGTCTGATAGATGTTTAAGTAGGAAAGTGACTTCCTCTTCCCAATGTCTTCTTTAAAGAATTGAGAAAGGCAACAGCATGT